CCCATTGATCATCTTGTTTTGTTGGCCATCGCAGTTCTGTCTGCCCAGTACACTTTCCACCAAACTCAATGCTGCAGTTTGTCCCATATTAGATGGAATGACTGTTATGTATTTTTTATTTTCAGCGGACCAGACTCCTACACCAACCCGCTTCATTCGTAACTGTGAAGAAGTTGGCCTGTTTCAAGACTTACAGAATGTCAATCCATTTGAGGAAACTTTCCGCAAAGCTGTTGAAGCTGCAAAGACTGGAGTAGGATCCTTGCATGAGGTAAAGGTTCCTGCTGCATAGACTGAACAAATCAGCCAAGTACATAATGAGACTGATAATAATAGTTTATACATTATTGTTATTTATTTATAAATTTTAAGAAAGCATGTGGTTTGTTTAGGAGAGAAGTATTGCATAAAATTCTCCATGAATCTAGTATATCTGTGAGACTAGTTAGTTGAGTCCATTTATTCATGTGCTTGACAACATTGAAATAGCTACATGGCAATAACAACAGTAATAAAAACAGTAACAACAATGATAGTAATAATAGTAGTAATAATGTTGATGCCTACAGTTTTGGGCAGCAGCAGTGATATACCACTTTTTCATTTTCACTGACAGATGTGCACAGCGATTTGTGCCAAGTATCTTTGTTGGTTGGAATTGGCCAGTTAGGGTGCATAACTAACCACCTTGCCATGCAGACATATGTGGAGATGGAAGTATAGCTTCACACATTCTTGAGATGTATTCTTACTGAGGACTATTTAATGAAGCAGCTACGTCACTTAACTCTTCACCTTTCTTGGTCTTGTTTGTTGATAAGATATCCATTATATTTGCTCAGGTTGTTTTGTCTGTAACAAGTTATTGAACTCAGTAATCTGAGATTGATAATTTTCAGACATTGTTGTGTGTTTATAATGTGGCTATATTTTTGGCAGTGATTTGTATTTGTGATCCAGATGTGGGTGAATGATGGTTGCCATGTTATATCTACAGAAGTAATAAGGCTTGTCTTCAGTTACATATTATCCAGTTTTATGTTCACTGGTTGTACCACAGCAGCTAAACTTATCTACAAGAAAGTTTTCTTTAAAATGTATGTACTTCTGGTGTTTATTAATACCAGTAACCTTATTGTGTATTGCAACTTTGAGGCCCTTTGTCTTGTCAAAAAGTCTGCTTAAGCCATGTTAGATGCATTAATAACATCTTTATTTGTTCATTGTTGGTAAGTTTCATGCAGAATGTTTTGTTTTCACAAACTACTGTTTATTTTTTGTATTATCATTAGATCACTTATTACTGTTGTTGTCGCCATCACCATAATTGTTATAATGCCTGATGTTGTTATTCTGGGTTGTAACATCATGTGGACCCAGAACAACAACATTGACATCATCATTGCTGTGAAAACCTCAGATCTCATCATATGCTTGTAAGATGCCACTGGTGTGTATAATAGAATTAAAGCAAGTTTATAATTACACAGGTGGATTCCTTGAGTGTACCCACAGGAAATGATGATACACTTCACACACCACACGTGTTCCCCCACATTATAGAAGATACAACTTCAAACAGCAGTTCAGTTTACAAGTCTGTGACTGCTTCTTTTATTTCATCTACATCAGTCATTACTGAAAATGGAAGAAAGAAGCCAAGGTAGAGGGCTGCTAGATTTATGTTATGAATAGATGATTTATAATAAATTTTTGCTAGATTTGCTTTACATTGAAATCAGGTAATTAATTTCAGCAAAGTAACTTGAAACAAGATTAGAAAAACTTATTACCTTCCACAGAAATTGTCCATATGTATTGGCAAAATTGTGAAAAGTTCAAAGCTGTATTTAATGTAGTTTTCAAGCTGTGTAATTTGCATGTTTATAACGTGTTTGCTTGCTGAATTGAACCTTGTTACTCTTAAAATCATTACTGTTTGTGTGCCTACATTTTTCAGTCTATGCAGTGATGACAGTACGTCCCAAAGTCCACGACACGAGCTGGATCCATTGCTGCATCCTACGTCGACAACTGAAGATGGCGAGTGCCACAGAGAGATAATTACAGGACACATACTGAAGGAGAGGAGGGTTGTTGTGGAACTTGGTAGCAGTACAAAGGTTGTGCGGCAGGAAGCAGACACTTCAGAGCACCAGGAGAAAACTTCCAGTCAGATCATGTAAGTTAGGTGAGAACATACCTTTAAATGCATATAGGACAGAATGCTCTTTCATGAGTAATTTTTATGGCCTGACATTTTTCAGGTATTATATTTTATTTTCAGCGTACATTGTGGTTTGGGTAATGACATTCCTACTTCATGTTCAGAATGTACTAGGTTTGAATATTGACAGAGGGTCTAGCTAGCCTGATTTTCCATAATCAGTCCTGTCATCTGTTATGACACATGAGAAAGCTCTTCCTTCACTTTCATTACTCACGATCGCCCAGTATTTCACTTGATGCGTATGTAGTTGACACAGTATGATTAACTAATATGGTTGTGCAGATTGTTTACAAACATAGCGTGGATTGCAGGTGCTATTTAGCTTCAAGTGTACAATAATCTAGAAAGGACTGATAGGAAGTTCAATATAATACCTGAAATGTTAAATAGATTTAATTACAATTACATACACATGACACGTTATTAGCAATATGATGAGTCATTTACATTTGGCATCTTTTTCTTTCTAGTAAATTCAGGTGTAGTTGATGGTGAGGGTTTTAGAACTACACAGTTATGAAAGTGTAAAAGGTATGGACAGAAAACACCAGTCATTGACTGAATAATATATATTGTTCATGTTTATTCCAGAACTGACAACACAGGAAGTAAAAGTGGGCTGGGAATTGGCACTTTGAGCACAGAACCACCAGAAGTAGTATCATCACAAACTTTGTCAAGTGCTGGTGGTAACACTGTACAGCTCTTACTGCGAATGCCTGATGGTAAACTCCTGCAATTGTCTGCCCTGCCAGTGGAACATGTTACGCCTTCAGGAGCAAATCAACTTGTGCAACCATCACAGGTATGTTATCATTACTTCTATAGTCAGATTTTAGGCTTAGAAAATGTTATGTAATTTTTCATCCATTTTCATGCATGCGCATGTAATTTGTTTTATTAATAGAATAAGTTCATTTGGTGTGTGATTTCCATTGTAATGAAATTACATTTTCCCGTAAGACTAAGAAGTTAAAAATCACATAACAATTAGTATCTTTCATGCTACCATTTTTGTCATGTTTGAATTGATCTGCATGGTAATCAAAGTTACAGCAAGTAACATTTCTTTAGAAGAGCAGTATATATGTTTCTGTTTGTGTCCTATTAAACTATACACTGGAGTAGTTCTTTCCTTAGATATTTAAAAACAAATTTTTTCAGGCTTTGGAATATTTCCAAAGTTATTATAAGTGTAAATGACTACTGTTTTGGATTTGAGGTTGAGTCTGAAGATGGCTGTCTTTTGGGTTGTTGCACCATGTAGTCTGGTAGAAGGCCCTCAGTGCCCTGATGATGGAGGCAGCAAGGACCTCTGAAACAGAAAACTTCTACCAGACTACATGGCTCAACAACCCAGAAGACAGCCATCTTTATGCTACTGTATTCCTTACATAGCAATATCTTGTTTCATAGGTGGAATCACAACCAGGACCAATGCAGAATGCAGCAGTGGTACTTACCACCACACGTCCTGCAGCTGTTGCAACAACAGTACCAGTAGTCCGACTAGAAAAAAACAAATACCCCACCCCTACTGTGAAAACATCATCAGCGCCAGTAAAACAACCTGCAGGCCTATCACTTGCCAAACTTGTACGTATTAATTTGTAGCTTACTCTGAATTGACCCTCTTTGTTGTTTTGGTTTATGTCTGACTGACTTTTCTCGCCTCAGGAGTGATTAATTATTACACAAGTAGAAAAAGATGAAATAAAATGTTGGTTTAAATTATCATAATGATAATATTGGTCCCACCTTGTAAGTTCATGCATTCACAATTTTGTTCTTAGTAAGTGTATGAATTAAAATATCCAAGGTTAGTGTAACCTCCAGTTGCATAATGCTTCAAATACCATGTAGATAGCCATACAAGTTCTGTTGAATTTTTGATTTGAACTCTTCAAATATAAAACATTTATATTTCCTGTCATCACTGGCTTGGTTTTTTCTTTCTCCTCTGCCACCAGGGGTACTTACATAGAGGAACCCAGAATATCAGATATCTTTGAATTGTTATAATCATGTTTGGTGGTAGATTTAATACAAAGCAATAAAGACTGGAACTCAAAAGAGTGGGTAAGGAGGGATCAGCTGGACACATACCACATAAGGCCTCAGTATTCATATAGGCATAGAATACACACTTCTGGCATACTTCTGTATACTATGTAGGGTTTACATATGCAGTACACAATTATGTTCATTTTTCATTGATTGTAGAGACTGAAGCAGACACTTATAAGCAATAACCGAACTCATGCAACCAACAAAGAATCACCACCAAAACAATCCTCAGCGAAAGTAAGTGCAGTTTCTTGTTCTTAGATCGTATAAATAATTTATCTTTATTATTTGTGGTTTATTTAATAATCCTGTCAGTAGCTCAAATTGTATAGAAGCACATGATATGATAACACAATTTAAGGTACTATCCAGCATTTTCTTGGAGGGACTGAGGGACACCATGCAAGCCAGTCAGGATTACCTGTCTCTGGGCTGATTTGAAACTAGGATCTCTTGAATATAAGTAGAAGAGCTAAAAACTTGGCTGAAACATGTTTGTGTGTGTGTGAACTTTTAAAAGGAATGAAATTCTAGGTATTTAACCATTGCTGTCTAAATTTGACAGACTATTTTAAATGTGATTTGTACATCAAACTGGGAAGATTTAACTGAATGGTAGATGGCTGAGCTTGTATTCAAGAAGTGCCAGATTCAGATCTCAAATTATTGGAGTTTCTCATGATTTACTCTAGTCTCCATTTTAATGCCAAGATAGTTCCGACAAATAGGTCAGAACTGCTACCTTCCATGTCTCTTCCAACTCACCATTCATAATGATCCTACCACCAAACATAACGTATGCATTTAGTACAGTGTCATCAAAGAAATCAATAAATGTATGAGGTCTCCATCAGGTATCAGTGCCTAAAGTTAGAAAGACAGTTCCTGATGTGTGTGGCACAAGTCCTGTTAGTGCAGCACCAGCAAGGAGAGCTTCTTCATCCAGTGGTGGTGAAGATCCAGGGAAAAAACGACAGAAGTTCCTGGAGAGAAACAGGTATATATTGTCAGGATTGTAGAGTAATGGATTTAGCTCTTAGCATTCAAGTATTTTAACACATTAATGGCAGGGTGTAAGTATATGTAGGGCTGAATATCTTAACAGGGGTTACACAAGCAAGGTTGTAGACAGGGCAATACACCATCGTCATGCAATTCAGTGTATTTGTCTTTGGTAAGTGAAGTCCATTTCCAGAGCCATTGTTGTATTTCCCGCCCTGTAAACAAGTTGTGGCTGCTGTAGTTAGGCCATAAGTGATATGTTTGAATTTTGACCATTCTGACACTTTAACACAGCTTTTTGAGCTCAGGAAAACAGTTTACTTTCTGCTTAAAACATAATTAATTTTGTTTGTAAATATGTAGCTAGAACTTAAAATTAATTTTGTACCAGATGGTTTGAGTTCATACTTTATGCCGTGAGTATTTTTCATACGACATATTTTTGAGAAATTTGGTGAAGTTCAATTTAAATGCAAGTATAGATTATAGTTAACTAATACATAAAATATAACTTTTATTATGACACTCTGGTACTAATTTTTATCATAATCAATAAAGTGCATTGGGAGATAAGACTGATGGTCATTTTTCCATTGCCTTCTGCATTATGTATGAATAAAACCTCACTGAAAAATACATTTCATACATTTAAATTCATACAGAGCTGCTGCAATGAGGTGCCGAGAAAAACGAAAAACATGGATTCAAGAACTAGAGAGGAGCTCAGAGGAGATGTTGACAACGAATCAGCAGCTGCAGTTAGAAGTAGCAACGTTGCGAAGAGAGGTAGCAGACCTGAAGACTCTCTTACTTGCACATAAAGACTGTCCCATTACCCAGGCCATGACACAAGGTTAGTTGAAATTGTAACAAATTTCATTTTTTCTGGGCAGATTCAGTGCAATTAATGATGGAGTGAAATGTTTAGAAAATAAATGCTAAGTAAAATATTACTATATTTATGTGAATGTAAGCTGAGTGCATATAAGCAATGCCTGACTTTTAAAAAATAAATCAAATGTAATTCATAAGGTGCTTCAAAACTTTTAAATTAATTTTCCCTCAAATACAAGTGATATGAAATGAAATGTACTGTGTTTCTAGGATCCAGTGTTCCATCACCATCTGGTTCACAGCCATTGCAGCCCCAAATTATTGCTCTTCCAGTCACAAACAGCATACTGCCATCAGCACATACTACCACATCTACTTCATTGCTCCAGCAACATCTTACAACAGCTCCTCAAGGTCAACTGATTCTTGTTAATGGATCTACTAATCTGAAAAGAGGCTGCAGTGAGCCTATTCTTACTCCAAGAAAGAAACTGACAGCTAATCAAGCATCACCACTTATCCGTCAGGCACTTCTCCTCCCTTCAACTCAAGCTGAGAGTATTCAAGTTATAAATAGTGGTGCAGTGAAAACAGTAACAACCATGAACAAGAATTCTCAGGGTGGTAGTATGGCAGTGCAGTCTGGAGTTCTTGTCACAAATCCAGTCATAACAACAGGAAATCAGTTGTCCATTTCAGCTGTCATTCAGAACTCAAACTATCAGCAGACATTCATTGTCCCAAAAATATGTTTGCCAGCTTCTGTTACACCAGTTGTCACAGATGTTGACAGAATCATTCAAGGGAATCAAACTCTGATTACTGATGCTGGTATTCAGAGAAAAATGGGTGATGTAAGTGATAATGAAGTAGGAACCAATGTGATAAAAATTAATCCAAATGTAATGCGGAAATCAACTGACAGTGTAATCACAGGAGATTTAACAGCAGACATACATGCAACTAGTGATCAAGACAGTGACATTGAAATTATTGCTGAAGTTCAGTCGTGTAATGATAGTAGGTGAGAATTAATTGCCACGATTTCTTAGCATAAAGATTTATTCATTACATTACTGTTTTGTAGTGTATATTATAGACTATTTATTATTTACGTATGAGAGAGAAATATTGGCATATTTTTTTACAGTTAGGTTTTAAAATCTTTAAATAATTTTTATTTAATAAAAATGATATTTTATTGTTAATTAGCCTGGTGCAAGAGTCATAAAATTTCTTTCTTGATCTGTGATTTACAGAACTGCTCAACCTCCCAGTCATGCCATTACACCCTGTGAGCATTATTAAGAAATACTGTAAAATCATTATTATAACAAGTATACTTGTTGGTATTAGTGCTTAACTAAAACAAAAAAACATGCTGTAGTGATGTTAGCACTAAACTTATATCAAGATACAATCTTATTCTGGTCATGTTCTGTATAGTTTAGCCTTGTACATGGTGGTTAATTTTCAGGAATTGCATAGCAGTACCATATATTACCACCAGAAACTGAAACACTTCCTCTGGCAGGATAGGAATTTGAATCACCCATAATCCTGGCAGCACATAGAATTTATTTCTAATTTAGATATTTTATTTGCATAATATCAGAAAAAGAATTCAATTATAACTGAACATAAACCAACAAGATGAATATAAATTCGTCATACATTTATAAAAGTATTACATTTTTACAGAATAAGATCTGTATAAATATTCACATTGATTTAGATATCTTATTTATTTAGTATTTTTCCCTGAAGCAGTACTTTACGTTATAGTACATTGTTTCATCTGTACATAATAAGTGACCAAATGTTTCTGAAGTATGTATATGGTAATGTTTCTTTCTTTGTGGACTGTACAATACCTGTATATGATTCTGGAGTACCTCACAGATTGGCTACATACAAGTAGAGTATACTGATCAGGTATCTGAGATTTTAGGTTCTCACAGCTGTGAAGATGATATGGCCCTCTGCCATATGACACTTTGTGGCCTTTTTTTACTGGCAGTTTCCAACATTTTGGAGGAAATAGGATTTGAGACTTTCGCGGCAAGTAAAATCAATATAATCTTCTCAGGCAATCTGCCGTGGCAACTGGTTACCATAGTAAACCAACCTTTCAGGAATCAACTCTGTCCCCATAATCAGGGTTTTGATGTGACTGGATACCTTGAAAGTCACCTGAAGATTTTATTGATTTTGGAGGAACATATCACTTCCATCTTCAACCTGGAGGCAGATGTTTCTCTGAGCTTCTGGGTTACGATTCTGTCTAGTCTTGTAGGTGGTTAACAATGTTCTATCGAAGTGTTCATATAATTCATTACTTGATCATTTCATGATCATACTCATTGTTTGGTAGCCTTTCTGGGAATGGGTCTGAGAGCTATCCTGGAAATCAGTGTATTAAAATTCTATTTATATGAACAAAATTGTAATATATATCAGTTATCTTGCACTAAGCTTGTTATATTGGTTTCATATAAGAACAGTTTTTATTGCATATCCATGTTTTGTATCCTGTGGAGTATATTTTAAATGGTTGCCTTACAGCTTCTTTTACCAATATGTTATGTCATCAAATAAATCATATGTCACATGTAACATTCTCTTTCTTCAGCTTGAAGTTCTTTGGCATGTGTTTTCTGTTATGATGAACAATGCCACAACTGTTTTTTTTTAAATATTAATCTATGAACAATTTATGGCTGAAACCCTCCACTAGCAAAGTGTTGTTCAAAATGTTATAGCAGCAGCCTTTACTTATTGTAATTCTTTTAGGTATGTCTTAGCAGAAAGCTATCCCTTCCTTGTATTTCATACTCATCAGAAGCAATATTTTATGTAGGGGGAAAGACTGATTACTGAGGTACTATTCAAAAACTCATTGCAGCTTCTCAGTTTTTTTTGTTCTTGCTATACCCTCATGTGGATGTATAGTAGGAGTTTGATGAGCTGAAGGAAAGTAAAAAAATATGCATGAATCATACTGGGCTCCATTCTTATATTTGAGCTTGAGTCTGTTTCATTCTTCAGAGTTATTTTCTTAGAAACACTGTAAAGTATAAAAGGAACGTATATCTTGGTAACTGTCAACACATCTGTATGAATGTAATAACACTACTGTGGGGTCAGATTTTTTGCTTTGTCATCACAGATCCTTCACTTGGTCAGTATTATTGTACATTTCTCATCAGCAGTAATATGAATGTTAGAATTGCCACAGCAAACCAGTGACATGTACACTTGACTGATAATCAGTCATTAAGATAAGTGAAACATTTATTAATATTTATTTTATTTGTGTCATTTTTCTGTAAATACAATCTCACAAAGTGGATTATTTCAAATATTTCATAATGTACATATATAATTCTTTTGCAGTCTTTTATTACATACTCCCACCTCATTTAAAGTATTGTTACAGATGTAATTATGTAATCTAAGGTATTAGAAACTTATGTTTTTTATCAGTACTGACTATTTGTTTTGTAAAATAAAAATATATGTTTATACTGGAATGTTGTACTTCAATTTATTTCCTTACATGCCCCAGTATGGGTCTATAAGTGCAGTCAAATTTTTGAAGGCATTTAGGCTCATTGATTAGAAAATGTTTATTATCATAGATAACATTATTTTCAGAAGGATCTATACAGTGGTAAGCAAACTATACAATTGCTTTGTGTTTGTCTTACAAATTTATGAATAAGGTTATATTTATATATTGTTTTTTTCTTAGGTTGCTTAATAATAATTACTGCAAGGGCTATTCAGAATCATATGAGAAAGATAATGGACAGCAAAATGCACAGGATGGTGGAGGAAGAATTTTCATCCCATGTTAAGGTATTATATTAGCATTCTTCTGGTAGGAATTAAATCCTTAAAGGACTTACAGTACTTGTGAGGCAACATGCTAGCATGTACTTGTTTGTGGCTTGGAAAACAAAACTGAAATTGTGGTTTATGTTACATGGTCA